ACCAACATCGGTTGCCTGCATTGGAATTCATTTTCAAGGGGATTTTCTATATTTCTCTTTTATTTGGTTGGTCACGTCTCCATATAAACCACGCTGTTAACATAACCATGTTTTTAAATTTTATTTGAAAACTAGTAATTTTTATTTTAAGATCGACAGATAATACAATAGTTTCTTTTAGGTTTTGCACAAGATTCATTTATTTTTATAACATATTTAGATAAACTAGCACTCTAATTTAACAATTTAAAAAAAGTGATTAAAATTCCTAGGGTTGTCACCAATTGATCACCGTCTGGTAGTGCTTATTCCTGTCACCAGACGCGCAGTTGTATTCGTCATTTTGCCATTACACTTTTTACCGAAGGCATCGTGCTCGGAGTGTTAACTAAACATCCGAGCCGTTTGTGTGAAAATTCACAGAATTATTCTCAAGGTTAGCTTTCAAATCACCGTATCTGATTCATTAGCAAATTCGGTAGAAGTAAGCGAACGCGATTAGGACTAGGAATAAGTTAACACTACTGAGTACTGATTGACCCGGTTCGCCCGGTAGTTACACACTTAGAAAAATTCATGCAAATTTAGGTGCTCTGAGAGTGACATATACAAGCGTCAATTTTTACATAAATTAGAGTCATAACAGACGCGAAATATAGCTTAATCAGACGTACGTTTTGGCGAGCAACGAACTTTTCAGTCTCCTAGCACTTAATATTACATTACGTGTTTGTTTACGTCTCATCTTTTATGTCAAAGATGGATTCCGTCACGTGTAAAATTAGTTATTTCTAAGTGTGTATGCAATTATGAGGGGAGATACTTGAGATACCGAAATAGTTAATGTGAATCAGTTGCGAATGTTTCGTTCCATCGTGATGTTTTCTGAGAAATATTTCCATGTGTAGCACTTTAAAATACGCAGCAATTAATCTAAAACTCACGACGATCAGATCGTGTTGGCTTTCGGACTGGAGGGTTCGTCGCTCCGATGCATACAGGTCTCTTTATCTGTATGTATTGTTTCTTCCGTGGGAATGGTGCTAATACTACGTTCAGACTGATATCACGTAATATATAGGCTGCACACTTAGAAATAACTACTTTTACACGAGACGTAATCCATATTGGACGTAAATCATGGAATGTAAACAAACATTTCATGTAAAATTATTGTTCTCAAACCGAAACATAAGCAACTCGACGAAGAGTACGTTTGATTGAATTGATTTTCTCGTTTCTTTCAACTGATTCTTATGTCAAAAGGGCCGCTTACATGTGTCGGTCTCAGAGAACCAAAATTTACACGACTTTTTCGTAGTGTGTGTGTTGAGGACTCTTACGCCAATTTTCACCGCACACCTAGAAAAATCAATGTAAATTTACGTGCTCTGAGACTGACATATACGAGCGTCAATTTTGACATAAAATTGAGTCATAATAGACGCAAAAGCTCAATCAAACGCAATTTCGAACTTTTCAGTCTCGAAGCACTTAATTTTACATGACATGTTTGTTTACGTCTCATCCTTTATGTCAAAGATGGATTCCGTCACGTGAAAACATTAGTTATTTTTAAGTGTGTGACCAGAGATTTTTATGCCTCAGAAAAATCCCACCGACCTCGACTGGGATTGAACCTTTTAAAAATACTAACGGACGCAATAACATGAGTTGCTTACATGTGTCGGTCTCCTAACTTAAAATTACATGAAGTTTTCGAAGTGTTGAGATAGCTGTGATATCAACTATAATCTGAACTTACTGTAAAGCAGTGGCAATTCAACCGTTTGTCTGCAAAATGCCACACACTTAGAAATTACTATTTTTACACGAGACGTAATTCAGCTTTGACGTAAATCATGGAACAAACATGGCATGTAAAATTAAGTGTTCAGAAATTGAAACATACACACTACGAAAAATTCGTGTAAATTTCGGTTTCCTGAGACCCTTTTTTTAATAGAGATTTTTAGCCGAAGGCTACACAGATAAAAATTCTGAATTTTAATTGTGATGTAAACATTCATTCACGTAAACTGGTATTTCATTTCACGCAACCGTGCAACTTGTAAACAATGTCGTTTACAAAGATGGGCTTTTGTATACAATATTTGCTACATTGCATGGAATGTCTCAGAACTTTACATGATTTATAATGTAAACTTATATGATATGTGACGCTCCATTTATGTGCATCATATTGAACAGAAATTTACACTACTTTTTCGATCTGTGTAGTTCATCTCTATTTCCTGAGACCGATACATGTAAGCGGCCCTTTTGACGTAAGAATCAGTTTAAAGAAACAAGAAAATCAATCCAATCAAACGTTCTCTTCGTTGAGTTGCTTATGTTTTGGTTTGAGAACAGTTAATTTTACATGAAAGGTTTGTTTACGTTCCATGATTTACGTCCAATACGGGACCTCCCTTAGCTCAGTCGGTAAAGGCGCAGCTACAAAGCAAGACCATGCTGGAGGTGGCTGGGTTCAATTCCCGGTCCGGTCTAGGAATTTTTCGGGTTGGAAAATTTCTCGACTTCCCTGGGCATAGAAGTATGATTGGACTTGCCACACAATTATACCAATGCAAAAATGGTACAGGCATCGAACGCTCTTAATTAATAACTGTGGAAGTGCATCTAGAACACTATGTTGAGAGCACGCAATAAGCTAATATGCGATACGCAATTAGCTTGAAATGCGAAGAAGAAGAAGATGGATGACGTTTCGTGTAAAGTTATTTCTAAGATTGTTTGCAACTCGACGAGAAGTGCGTTTGATTGAATTGATTTTCTCGTCCTTTTCAACTGATTCTTATATCAAAAGGGCCGCTTGCATGTGTCGGTCTCAGTGCACTGAAATTTACATGTCTTTTTCGTAGTGTGCAGAGGATGAGTTGTTGACGATTTCTTTCATTACAAATAAAGGTCATTGGTTCGAATTGCGTATTTATTTACAGTTTATTATGGAAATTTCGTATCTCACCTACTAATCGGTGTTGTAATGAGGAATAGAATAATTAGGGCTTATGATCTAAAGGGTGATACGGTCAAAATTTGGTCAATATCAACTTGACGTATTTCTTTCAATTTTGCATGTAAAAAACCTGAACACGCCTCATTTTGAAGGTGTGTGTGTGTGTAGAATGTTGCTCCTATTTTGATTTTGGAATTCACTCTTCAGTTGTCAAAATGCCGCCCAAGCAAGAAGAGCAGCGTATCAAAATTTTGCTCGCGCATCGCGAAAATCCGAGCTAATCGCACGCAAAGTTGGCAAAATCGCTAAAAGTTGCCAAATCAACCGTTACAAATGTAATTAAAGTGTTTGGAGAACGTTTGTCGACAGCCAGGAAGTCTGGATCGGGGGGAAATCGAAAACCGGAAGCCGCTGAGACGACAAAGAGAGTTGCCGGTAGTTTCAAGCGAAACCCTAACCTCTCTCTCCGAGATGCCGCAAATAAGCTGGGTGTATCGTCTACAACCGTGCATCGAGCCAAAAAAAACGAGCCGGACTATCGACTTACAAGAAGGTAGTGACTCCAAATCGCGATGATAAACAAAATACGACGGCCAAAGCGCGATCCCGGAGGCTGTACACGACGATGCTGACGAAGTTTGACTGCGTGGTAATGGACGACGAAACCTACGTCAAAGCCGACTACAAGCAGCTTCCGGGACAGGAGTTTTATACGGCAAAAGGAAGGGGAAAGGTAGCAGATGTTTTCAAGCACATGAAACTGTCAAAGTTCGCAAAGAAATATCTGGTTTGGCAAGCCATCTGTACCTGTGGCTTGAAAAGCAGCATTTTCATAGCTTCCGGGACTGTCAACCAAGAAATTTACGTGAAAGAGTGTTTGAATAAACGTCTGCTCCCTTTCCTGAAGAAACACGGTTGTTCCGTACTGTTTTGGCCGGATTTGGCATCTTGCCATTACGGTAAAAAGGCCATGGAGTGGTACGCCGCCACCAACGTGCAGGTGGTTCCCAAGGACAAGAACCCTCCCAACACGCCAGAGCTCCGCCCAATTGAGAAATACTGGGCTATTGTCAAGCGGAACCTAAAGAAGACCAAAAAAACTGCTAAGGGCGAGCAGCAGTTCAAGGCAAACTGGCTTTCTGCGGCGAAGAAGGTGGACAAGGTGGCTGTACAAAATCTGATGGCAGGGGTCAAGCGTAAGGCCCGGCAATTCGGATTTGGAAAAGCGGAAGCCTAACTGAATATTTTTCCTGAATTTTATACTAATTGAACTTGAAAAAGAAATTTAATTTGATTTTTTAAATAAACGATTTCACCGATTTACACGCGTTTTCCCTTGACCAAATTTTGACCGTATCATCCTTTAATTTCCGTCCTTCTAAGCGTCCTACTACAATAAATTAAATATTTCTTTCTTCTAAATTTATTTACCTTTCCAAAAGTTCCACTGCTGCTTGATTTAAAATCTGTCATACACACTTAGAAATAACTAATGTTTTCACGTGACGGAATCCATCTTTGACATACAGAATCAGACGTAAACAAATATTTCATGTAAAATTATGTGCTCCGAGACTGAAAAGTTCGTTACTCGACGAAAAGTACGTTTGATTATGTTGAATTTCACGTTTGTTATGACTCAATTGTATGTCAAAATTGACGCTCGTATATGTCAGTCTCAGAGCACCTAAATTTACATGATTTTTTCTAAGTGTGTACGAGTGTCAATCCCGCCCTAACACATTGAACCACCATAAGATTTTCTTCGTCCTACGGATGAAGCTAGATGGTGTGGATTCGCTAAGAGCGCTTCTTTTCTTTTGAGAACAATGACTGTAAACATTCATACAAAGCGCTTTAATATGCTTTGTGTTGGGCCTTATGAGCTAACGCATTGGAACAAACGTATTATTGATTTAAGCACGGTGAAATCATTAACATCGTTGATGTTTTCTGATCGATAGAACGAAAATGGGTGATTACGACAAAGTAGCGCACAATTCTCTGCTAACATTTTCAACTAGAACAACCGATGAAATCGTAGATTGAAGCCTCCGAATCCGGCGACGTTTTCTTCGGCTGGCGGAAGGTATGTATTTGATGGACCACAGTATGTTTCCGTTACCGTTGGCAGTTGAACGGTTGAGTAGACGGTTGGAGCATCGTGTTGAACTCCGGGTAGCGTAGTGGTGACAGTTTCAGTGACGTATTGAACATCACGAAGGGTCGTTGTTCGTACACTGTCAAGGGTTTGAATCTGACCCGGCACAGTCACGGTGTTGTAAATCGTTTGATACACAGGTTCTTGCCCAGGCAGTTGAATGGTTTGGGTTTCGGTAACGGTTTGGTTGACTGGTGCTGGAGTGGGTTGGTTGACGGTTGAGTAGATGATCTGAAGAGGTTGGGTAACGGTGGAGTAAATGGTTTGTCCCGGTTGGGTTATCGGAGCGGCAGTGATGGTGGTTTGAATGGTTTGGATGACCGGTGCGGTGGTCGTGAAGTATGAGGTTGTTGTTATGTACTGAGCTGGCAGTTGAACGGTGGAGTAGATGACCTGCGGCGGGAGGGTTACTGGCGGAACAAGTATAGACGTTGTGTCCCGAATGGTAGATACAACGGGCACCTCCGATGTTTGAACGATCGTTGATGTCCTGACGACTGGTGGTTGCGATATGGTTGTGGTGATAGTTTGACCTGGAAGAATCTGGGGTGGTAAAGTGACGGTTGTTGTATCTTGAACGGTTTGGTAAACTGGCGTTGTCTGGATTTGTGTGGATATGTATGTTGATACAATTGGTGGTAAGGTGATCGTTTGGTAGATTGTTTGGTCTCGTTGAGCTGGAGCAGGAACCGTAACAGTAGTGGTTTGGGTCACGGTTTGGTCTACTGGAACGGTTTCGGTATAGGTCGAAGTGACATAGATCGATGTATATTGCGTCACAACTCTTTCGTCATGGTGGATTCCACCCTTGAGAGTTTCCTTTTGCACTTGATTGTCCGTAACGGTTTGTGTTATGTAAACTGTTTGGGTTTCCTGCTGTCCGCAGCCTGGCTTCGGATAGGAATAGCCATTGAATTGCTCCGCTCGAGTAATACCAGCCAGTGCAAGAACAAGAAGTATCACAAAATTCTGCAAATCATAATCAAATAATCAAACATTAGCGAAAAACATCCAAAGGTCATAAATCTATTTCGATACCCCTTGCAAAAATACCCACAATTTTACCCAAACAAATATGATGATTGCGGTGACACTCTAATTGCTAGGATAAATATCAAGTGGATCATCAGTCGATTGGATTGGGTAATCCATTTCCAGATAGCAAAACTCTCGTCGTCAGCTCTAATCATTTCTTATTGTGACTGGCAGGTGCTATTTTATTAGCTCTTATGCAAATATTTACTCCCTTCTCCCCTGCATTCATTTATCCAATTTTGACATTGTATCATATTTTCGGTAGCAAACCATCACAAATCGATTATCAGAAACTTATCCGCTAAAACATTCCGATGATTGAGGAAGTAAATATATTCGATTACATACTCAATCTAGCTCGGTAAAATTTTAAATAGTCGATTACATCGGCATTTACTTTTGCTGATATCTCTGCAAAATATATGTTTATTAGCTGAGATCTCAGCAAAAATCTAATTTGTTAGCTGAGCCTCGGCAATAACGTCACTGAACCTCAGCAAAATAAATTGCAGAACTACTCGGCTATTGTTTTTTTTTTTTTTTTCTTTATTTTAGAGATTTTTAGCCTGAGGCTAGTTCATCTCTTAACTCGGCTATTGGAATCTTGGCCAAACAACTTAAGTGTGTAGACTACACAGTCACATATCCTGTTACAGTAAGTTGTCTCATTTAATAGTCGTTGTTTGGATTGTGTGAAGAAACCTGGTCACACAAATGCTCTGATTGTATTCGCTTAATGGAATGCAGATGATGATACTGGGCGCACGAAATCGATTTAAAACCACTTTGTAGGTAAATCGGTTACACACAGATTTGAGTGAGCATATTTTAGCACTCATCTCTATCGTTAGCATGGCTGTCGACGTGACAGATTGTTTCATTCAATGTAAGATTAAGCTGCGTGGGTAATTGTCTGGTTTTGCTTGTTGAGGTCTTCATTTGATGGATGTTGGATTGGGAAAAAAGGTGAAATCTTGATCAGTACAACCATAGGGCACCCATTTTAAAAAGGTCTGAATATTTATTGAAAGCAATAAGTCTTCATCTTTCCTGTTGTACCCATTTTGAACACATTTCCATTACATTATTTTATGTTCGCTTATCAGCACGTTAGTCTTCGATGGTGTGGTTTCATGCTTGAAGTTTGAACAAAAACCATTAGTTAAGAATTTATGTACAAACAATTTTAATATCGAGATAATTTACAATTCGATGTTCTATGCTACAAGTAACACCAACTGTTCAATGAAAAGTGAGCTATTAAGGATTGTTCATGTATGGTAAATTTTGTCCATTACCAGTTTTTTTTTATCGGATTTACCGGCGTTAAACTTATCATTACAGATTAATTGATTTTTGGAAAATATACGCGGTTATAACAACCATAACCATGACCACCCTTTGTGTCATATAAATACTTTTTATCCATATTTTAATAAAATATTCAGGAGCAATACTATATGTACACCCACTGTACTGTTGTCTTATGCCCTTTTCCTTACTATTGATGCAACCAATCATAGCCAATATAATTTTCATGACTCACTTTATCCCCTCTCCCACCTGGTAGAAAATATCACTAACACACTCACCATTGTTACACCGTGCACACCTTCGCCAAAGTTATCAAATTTCACTTTCAGTTTCTCCTAGGGTGACCGCGTAGGTATGGTACAACACTTAACACTTTATGTTTGCTTTTCTCACAACTCGTGATTCTCCCAGCAGCCGTGCAAGATCGGAACGAGCACCACCCACAAACTGTTGAAACTACAGCAGCTTTTCTCGTTCTCGGTCGCAATACCAATTTCTCAGATTCCTATCACCCCACTGGCTGATGCACACACGTGCTCTTGAATGCCGTGCACCTGCTCAGCTCCCTGACGGTGGTAATTTAAGATGATACCCTCGATCGGTGTACTGTCCAATTGCCACTTTGGTACTAAGATTATCGTTATGCCGGAGATCTTATTTATATCTAATTGATCATGAACTGTGTGATGGTTGAGGTGCAACGCACTGACCACGGTAGCGACCAGGAGATATATCCGGAGAACTTCGAGATTTGGGCGTAATTGCTTTTGTAAACAAACACGTCAATCGACGATTTCTCGCGAATAAATGCTCAATCTCGGGATCAAATTACACCACATGCTAGAGATCATTTCTTTACCTGTTTTCTTACGAAAGCAATTACGCCCAAATCTCAAATCACTCCGGATATTATGGCCAATAATATTGAAAAACGTAGCGAAAGCCTTGCTAGGTGCGATTCTTTTTGTCTTGCGGACATATCGTTTGTACATAAATCTAGTTATAGGGGAATGTGGGGTAATACACTCCCCCCTTCCCTCTAAGAAATGATCGAATTCCGATTAAAATAAATCCCATTTTAGTGCATTCATTAGTCTAATGAAGCTACTCGATGTTAACGGAAACATGATATGAAAATACGCATGATAACAGGGAAAATTTTATTACAAAAAAATCTGCTTAACACTCCGAATACGGTGGGTAAAAAACTTTTCGACGACTACGAAGCTCCGAAAAGTGTGTAACGACAAGTTTGCAATGGTATAACTTAGCCATTTCTTGGTGAATTTAAAAAAGGTACCTCTAGAATTTCTAGAGTCTGTAGATTATTTTGATTGTAAAAAAAAAATTGAAAATAGGGTTGCCCACTTTTTTTAAATTGAAAAGAGTCGTTACACTTTTTTTATAAGTAGCGTTTATGGGTTTTGCAAGTGGCATTTATAATTTAGATTATTAGACACAAATGTTCATAATTAGCCAGAATTCAGTCATGGTTCTTACATATGGATCCAAGAGACAACGGAAGGGTCCTCGAAAGATCCAGAACATCCGTAAAAGTGGTCAATCTACGAACCTGATCCTAGAGCTCTGTGTTTTTTTTTTTCGAAAACATTAGGAACTGTGGTATAAGAAAGAATGTGGGCCATGACATAAACATGGACCTGGATGGCCATGAGACCGTCTTGCAGAAGATCTGGAAAATTCCTAAAAATGGTCAATTCATGAAGCTGATCCTAGAGATGCGCAGTTTTTGAAATACACTAGGAACTGTGATGATAGAATGAATTTGGTGTCGTAACATAAACATGAACCCTGATGGCCACGGGACCGTCGTCTGAAAGATCTGGAACATCCGTAAACTGGTCAATCTATAAAACTGATCCGAGAGTTTCACGGTTTTTGCAAAAACCATTTGAGGATTGAGTGCAGAATTAAAAAAAAAAAAAAAACAATTTTTGTCACGCTTTTGACCATAACTCACAAATCATGTATATTCAAACATGATTATCTAACATAAGCACGAGTAACTTTGATAAACACTGCAATAACACACGATCGGCTATTAAAGTTGATTTAAAAAAAAAATGTAGGTTTTACGTCAAAATACTTTTTTTCTAGCCAGCTTCGAATGTTTACTAACCATTAGTTTAGTCAGAACTTCTTCAAACTAGAGGAACAGGATTGTTTTTGTAATCAAAGGAACACATCTTAGTCCTTTTTACTTGTTATGCCTTGTTGATAATGACAAGACTCGGCTTTGCCAAGGGTGATCTTGAAACAAGGACAACATGAGTTAGGTAGTTATTTTTCATCTACGTGATTTCTAATCTTTTATTTGTTGCTCTCTAGTTTGAAGTGATTAAGACTAGGAGTATGGTACATGGTCATCATCGGTGTTTATGCTTGATTTTGTTGCGAAGGAATCCGTTTTTGACTGACAAAGGGACACGCCCTTGGAGGGTGTTCCAAGACACCGAAAGGTATAAAGAGCGGGAACTTACAATTAGAGTCGGATCATTGCGATTAAGGCAAGGAAGACAACTGTATCATACTGTATCATGTATCATGTATCATGGAGTCATACGGCATGCACTAAACTAAGGACACGGGGTATACCAGAATCGATCAAATAGCAAAGAAGAAATTTGATGCCTAACTCAATTCTCAAAACCCAAAATTAATAGGGTGTTCCAGAAAGTATATTCCCGCTGATGTTCCGTAGGTTAGGAATTGTGAACCCCTGTCCGATTTCTTTAAAGCAATTTACAACACACGTTGAATTGGTTGTAATGTAGCTTTAGTTGTGTGTTTTATTTATGTTAGTTTAAGTATAATTTAATAGCTTATGGTGTACTACTCACAAAATTTCGGTTTGCATATGTATTAATAATACAATTCCAACTGTACTGAATGATGACACGTGAAATTCTGAATGTATGTATAAGTTAGGTTAAGTTTTAACAAATTAGAATAGGAACTTACAATTCGTGTATTGTATGCAATTTTAATAGGGAATAATCACTTCAGTTTAGATATAAGTTTTAGCTAGCTGTATGATTAAATTTAGTTTCAATTTAGGAAGAATAACTCAATCGTAGATAAACGGAAATTTCACCTTTCAACAAAGGACTTTATCTCTGGCAGCCTCAACTACTTATAATCATGCAAGTCATTATGATCTTGCCCTTCTTTATCTTCTACTGTCGTTTTGACAGCTGACTGCGGTCGTCATTGGAGCGTCACCTGAAGTGTTACCAGCAGGGTTGCTTCCACTCACTTGCTATAAAAAAATATTTTTCGGAACTATGCAATCATTAGATGTTATAATGATATGTTTTACTAGTAAGTAACAAGAAGAGGGTGTAAAGTATGTGTTTGACTCATTAAACCTGTCAATTTCGCTTTCAGAGCGTCACAATAAGCGATCTTATGATTCGTGAGCGTTCACTCAGAGTGAGCGCTCACGAGTCGTAAAATCGCTGATTGTGACGCACTGAAAGCAATATTGACAGATTTTATGTGTCAAACATATACTTTACACCCTCTTCTTTTTACCTACTAGAACTTATTAGCATTATACTATTTCATGGTTTTATAATTCCGAAAAACATTTTTTATAG